CGCCTGGTTTATTTTGATTGATTGATTGATTTTGTAGTGATGAGGTCTTGCTATGTTGCCTTGCTATGTGGTGGAGGATTTTTAAGAATCACTCTGACAGCCACCTCATGGAGAGGCTCATAGCCCACTTAGGAGACTTTTTCCATAGTCCAGTGGAAGGGTACTGGTGGCAGGCCCTGTAACTGTGGCCGTGACGATGGAGAGAAGTAGGTAGAGGTTTTAGAATGGAACTGACTGGACTTGCTAGTGGCCTGGATGTAATAAGGGACAGAAATTGGAGATCATGCCAGCTTTTAAGTTTGAGCTATTGGGGGATGAATAGTATTATTTACCCAAAGGAGGGAAGGTTGTTGGGCAAGAAACAGGAAAGGGTCAAGAGGGAAGCTCTGTTGGATAGAGAGCTATCCAACAGAGCTTTTTTTTCCGTTTGAAATGTATATAAGACATCCAGATGGCGACGTCTAGTAGGCAGTTGGGTATGTGAAACTAGATAGAGCTTGGGAGCAGTCTGAGCTGGGGATGGAAATGTAGGAAGCATTGGCATGTAGAAGTTTGGGATGCGTAGGAGAAGGAAGGCACTCAGTACTTGTAAGGTTAAATACTTTGCTATGCCATTCAAGTTTTCTTGATGCACAAAGTCCTCAAAATGGAGTTGTCAGCACCAGAGTCACTAAATACATTCACCATTGTTTGGTGTCCAGTTTCTGACAAAGGGCCATCATTCTGCATGTGACTGTGGAGTTTCTATATACATTTGTTCAAGTGTCCATGTGCTTAAACCTAGTCCCTCTTAGTATGCTGGCCTGGGGTCTCCCAAAGTATGTGATGGCCTAGATGTGGGTGTTGGGCCACTTGCTGATTGGAACATAGGGATGACCCAAATCCTGAGAAAGATTTAGGGCTTACACAACAATAAAATTCATTCTTTCTAATTAGTTCAGAATCTATGAATTCAAGTACAGTGTTTAAACTTTATTTTCAAGTACATAATTTTATATATTTTAAGTGTGTTTTGAATATGTTAAAATTCAGTAATAAACTCATTTTTATTAACTGAAATTTTTATGTTCTGTTATAAATCAAACTTGTCCCTGTATTTGGGCAAGATCCTTATGTTAATATGCAAGTAGGCGGATTGTGAAGTAGCTGGTTGTGCTACTTCTTGCTGTGTGACATTAAACAAAATTGTTTCTCCATAAGTAAAATGAGCATTATTGTAGGATTATTGTTAGAAATAAGTGAGACAAACTATATAACCACAGAGACCAGCACATTGCTGAGGCCTAAACTAAACTGAGACTATTTATTTAATGCTATTTTAACTACTATTTAATTATTTAGACTAATTCAGTTGATTTTCTTTAACAAAAATGTTTTGGTATCTGTTTCATACTTTTCAGCTGTAAATTATGAATGTTATAGCATTTCTATAATTTGGACTTTTCTTATTAATAGTCCTGTATCAGAAGCATTTTGCACAGGAGTATATGGAACTTATGGTACATTACTTTAAATTTTTATTTTTCAGAATGAAATGTTCTTAAAATGTTTAGAAACATATATACTGTCTCTCACACAAATTATTTCTTTCTGTTGCCACAACATTCCACACACTATTCCTGTTGCTAAGGCCTCTGGAATGTCCCGGTGCAGAAAAAGAATATAGAACTCCCTGTTTTTTTCTGAAGAAGACATTTTATTTAAATTGTTTTGTATCCTCTAGCCTACTTCCAAATATGGATATCTGAAAGTAAAAAATTTGGAAAGCTAAAATTAAAGTTGCTTTAAAATTTCATGACAGGAATTCAGTTTCATAGGGTGGAGTGAACTGGATTTAAGTATACTATATTTCTTTCCACAAGAGGGTGTGTGTGTGTGTGTGTGAGGGAGAGAGAGAGAGAGAGCGAGAGCACAAGTGAGAGCGACAGCGTGAGCACGCACATGTGCACACATGTGCTTGCTTTTTAGGGAGATGCGATATGCTAATGAGAGATTAAGAAACTGCGTTTACAGGTCACACATACTTGACCCTGGTTATGCTGCTTCCTTGCTGGGTGATATTAAACAAAGTTGTTTCTCCATAAGTAAAATGAGCATTATTATAGGATTATTGTTAGAAATAAATGATATAAACTGCATAAAAAAGTACTTGACATAGATAGGGCCTGATACATAGTAGTCTCTTAATATATTTCAACTGTTTATCATTGTGATTATCATTATCAATTGTAATTGATCTTAAGTGATTGAGGAATTGAAATTTTTGCAGAATTATAATTTCCTGGTCCCTTACAAAATGACCCCTACCCTTTTCTTTTCTTTTCTTCTTTTTTTTAGAAAGCAAGATTTATTGAGAGGACAGAGAAGCTCCCACAGTGGGAGAGGACTTGAGGGGGTTGCCGACCCCTACCCTTATAGTTTTACTAGTTATAAGTTTCACCAAAGGATCAAAAGAACCAGGGCAAAAAGGAACTTTTTTTTACATATACATCATGTGACAAATTGAATTCTTGGTTACTTGAAAGGATCAGTGGTTTTTAGTTTAAACTGCTTTATTTTTAAAGGGGTAGGTGGCTAGTACACAAAAGTATTTAGCATCTGGCAAAGTGATATATTTTATTTTTTTATTTTTCGATTATTTCTTTTATTTTCTTTTTAGTCAGAATCTCACTCCCAGGTTGGAGTGCAGTGGCATGCTCGTGGTCACTACAGCCTCGACCTCCTGGGCTCAGGCGATCCTTCTGCTTCAACCTTCCAAGTAGCAGGAACTACAGATGCGTGCCGCCACACCTGGCTAATTTTTAAAAAATTTTTTGTAGAGACGCAGACTCACCAAGTTGCCCAGGCTGGTCTCAAACCCCTGGACTCAGGCAATCCTCTTGCCTCTGCCTCCCAAAAGGCTGGGATTACAGGCCTGTGCCACCTTACCCAGCCTAAAGTGATATATTTTTAAACAGCATTTCTTGACATTGCATTCTATGGGAAACTACAGAGACCAGCACATTGCAGAGACCTAAGACCATTTATTTAATGCTATTTAACTGTTATTTAATTAGTAAAACTAATTGAGTTGTTTTCTGTAATGAAATTGTTTTGGTATCTGTTTCACACTTTTCAGCTGTAAATTATGAATGATATAACATTTCTATAATTTGAATTTTTCTTATTAATAGTCCTGTATCAGAAGCATTTAGCACAGTACATGGAACTTATGGTAAACTACTTTAAATTTTTATTTTTCAGAATGAAATATCATATCAAGAAACTGTAATCATGGAAAATGGCTATAACATGTACATCACTGCATGGATATAGTCTTTCCCCTTCAACTATATATACTATATTTAACTCAATATGGGCAGGCTATCAAGGAAAATAACATATTATTCAGCTATTATTTCTCATTAAATAAACATAGTCACAGAAAGCCTCTTACATCATCTAATCAGTTTGTGCAATCAGAGATATTCAGCCCTGACATTCTAATTTATTGACATTGGAATCTGGAAAGAATGTATAGAAATCATTTCTCTGGTCTTCAAGGGATACCAAATCTAAGCCACATTATGGATGAGAATCGAGTTTCAGCTATTGACCTTAGACACAATATTTTACCTCTCTGTGAGTCAGCTTCCCCTTTTTAGAGTGGAAATATAATGGTATCTATCTAGGTAGTTGTGAGGGTTAAAATGAGATAAAAACACATAGAAAGTACTTGATACTGCAACTGCATCTCAGAATCATGTTGGGCCCCATTGTATTTCAGATTTACAGCTAGCTATTCGTGCAATTGAGTGTAATAGAAACTATTTAAGAACATAGGGGCTATAGCCATGTGTACATATCAGATCAATAATTTGATTTAGAAGTTATCGTCACTTGACATCTACTTAGAGCATTTTCTTCTCTCTTTAAAATCACCAAGATCACCTAAGCTGAAGAAAGTATGAAATTAAATCTTCATAGGAAATAAAGCAAATTCTAATCAGCTTTTTGGGTCTTTTTTTTTTTTAAACTTGGTATTTGGTTTACTAGAACATTTGCTTAATTGAAATATACTAATTATCCACTCATTGTAGATATTCTGAATAGTGCACTTAGTATAAAATGCTTATTTGAAATCACCAATTTAGAAATATTTAAAATTTTAGATTCTAGGTCTGAACTTTTAGCTCTGTTCCCTAGATTGTTGCTCATAATTAATTATTCATGATTGGGACTTTGTAGTTAATTATATTTACCAGATATCAAGTTACTTTCAGTTTTCATGTATATACAGATAGTTCAGTTTCACTGTTACATTTAATTAAATTGATTTCTTACTGTTAGAAAAGACAAAAAAGCTTTTATCCTACCCTATTCTGGTAACCAAACTGAGACTAATGTATGAAATGTTGTGTTTGTACTGAAGTTCAGTCTGTCTGTCTAGTGGCATCGTATGTAAGCAAAAGAGCTAGAAGCTAGAGGTTGTTGTGACTTGAAAAAATAGTCTAAAAATAATTTTCTCTATATTACATGCTGAAGAAACCAGCAGTTTTATTCATCTGTGAAACTTCTATTCCCTTTCTTAACTGTTCCATAGAACTCAGGGACCAGATGGCTGGAATAGAATGCATAGTTAAACAAATAAAGCCATTAGATGCTACAGCTTTGTGAATTACTAAGCATTTTATGTGCTTGCAGATTCTTCCCCATAACACTTGGTAGTGTTCATCTAATGTTGCTTTATTGTGCAAATGTATTCATTATTTGCATTTTAATAGATTTGTCTATTTCACCTCATAATAATGATTTTTGGTACACTTCATTTTAACCCTTTGTACAATGTGTCTATAAACTTGATTTGATTTATCTCTTAATGGTCATGGTGTGCCACATCAGTTCATTTGTCCTGGTGCACTTTATAATAAGGCAGCTCCTTTAAAGAGTATTGTTCTCTTAAACGATTTTCTATCAATCAGAACCAGATGAGTGAGTGATGCTCTGTTTCTATATTGCAGACATGCCAATATTTGGTTTCTGTCCAGCCCATGATGATTTCTACTTGGTGGTGTGTAACAACTGTAATCAGGTTGTCAAACCGCAGGCATTTCAATCACATTATGGTAAGTGCTTAACCATTTAAAAAAATCATTATTAGAAGGTAAAAGGTAAAGCAGGATTAAGCTGAAAGACAATGATAATATCCCTCCCCCATCAGAAAGTAGGCTTTCTGAATCATTGATTGGGTTAATAACTATCAGATACTGGACGTTTTTAACTTTTTATTGAAAGTGATGGGAATTTTCTGGTTTTTATTGAAATTAGACAGAAATTGTAATTTTTAAAATACTGTATCAGTATTTTACTTTTAGAAACAAACAAATCCCCTGGCTGTGAATTTAGTGGATTTTAAAATTATATATAGAGTACACTCACAATACAGACACGTAGGCTTTTTTTTTTTTAAAGGATATGTGATTTTAAAAATCCAAGTTCAGTCATTCCACATCTTGGGTGTTAATTATCAGGGTCCAAATAAAGTGGTTTGGCATTGCTGTAATGTCACCTAGAGTATTTAAGATAAGATTTTTATTATAAAACTTGTTTCTATGCCCAGTTTGGTACAATAGCAAACCAGAAGTATTTGAATACCTACCTTACTTCAGGCACTGAATATGTTATATGATTCCTACCTCCACAGATGATATAATTGGAGAGACAGGCAAAATTAACTAGATACACTTAAAAAAATAACTGCCAGTTATTTCCTCATTGTTCTTAATAGTACAAACGCAAGCTTGAAATAGAAAGTAGCAATGGAGTTCTTCTATAGAAAGAGTTTAAAATACTCTTTTAAAAGCAGCATAAGAGGTGAATGAGCCCTATATGATGAGAAGGAGCAACTCAGGCAACATCTGAGTAAGAGCATCCCATACAGAGGGAACCGCCAGCACATAGTCCTGAAGAAGACCAGCGTGACTGGAGGACAGTCAGTGAAGGGAGATGGAAACTAGAGGAATCCAGCATTATGCACATAGTCCTGAAGAAGACCAGCGTGACTGGAGGACAGACAGTGAAGGGAGATGGAAACTAGAGGAATCCAGCATTATAAGCAGGATCATTTATAGGCCAGGGTAAGAGGCAGCTTGCAGGCAGTTAGAATTTACAGGACTTGATGTTGGGACTGCTATTGTGTTAAGCATCACACCATCATAATCAACATACCATCGTTTCTTTTCAAGGAATACATCTTTTATTTAACCATAAAAATGTTATTTGAGTTTCTGCTTCTGAATGAGACCCTGAGGTAGGCACCAGAGTAAGTACAAGATGGATAAGATATTATCGCCCTGCTTAAGACTCTCAGAGGCTAGCATTAGAAAAGGCAGTTAGTTAATTGCCAAGTTATTTTGGAGTTGAGGATTTTAAAGCCAGATTAGTATGTATTTTAATGTAAATCTGTGAGATCCATATATTAGTTCTCTGCCTTGAACAAGTTATCCAGCCTTTGCTTTCTTTGTTATAGTGCAGGGATGGTAATACCAACCTCATAGGTTCCTGGTTTGGATTAAATGAAATAACATGGGTGAAGTCTCTAATACAATATTGGAATATACTAGATATGACAGACAAGGACAGAGACACAAGAAGACAGAGAGAGAGAGAGAGAAAGAGAGAGAAAGGTTCAGCTCTATAGGACAGTGTGAGTCTAAAGTCATAAAACAGTCCAAGGTCTTAAGGAGGAGGAGCACAAGTTGCATCTTGATACATAACTTGGAGAAGACATCTTAGAGAAAGTAACCGTCATATTAGCGTTGGAAGAATAGAATGAGTTATTTTTCCCACGTATAATTTTTTTCTTAAGTTTTAGACACAGTACATGTTCATTGTGGGAAATACAGAAAATTTTTTGAAAAAGTACCTATGTCCACTAAAATGGGATGTGTTTTGATGAGAATAGACAGGGCTGTCACATATGACTGCACAGTCTGTGCACTGAACAACCATATTTGGTGACCCCAGGATGGCAACAGGGTTGATGTGAGCAAGCTCAGGGGCAGGAAATTCCAGGCTCTCTGGAATGTGCTGTTCCAGTCACCATTGGCCAGAGCTGAGGTGCCCACATGTGGATGAGCGGAGTACAGAGGCAGGCTAGGACTAGTTCACAGGGCCTCACTTTCCATCAGAGTCCCCTGCCCTTGATGTGTCAATGGGGACTTGAATAGATTTTTTTAGAACCAGAGTGATATGACTTAGTGGTACTCCAGGAAACTGATAAGTAAAAGTGGATTAGGAGTAGGTGCAAGAGGGAACACTTAGAGGTATTACCTCTCCCAGGACTTCCTTCGGCATTAAGAGGCCCCTTTGGTCATCTCTCCTAAGAGCATTTTACTCGGTGGTTGCAGCACATTCTAATGGAGATTTCCTTTTTAATCTTCCTTTTTCCTTCTTAGAATGTTAGTGTATGCGTAGGGAAAAGTATCTTAGAATCATATTTATACTTTCTGTTCTTTTTGCCCTACCAATACCTAGTATAGTGTCTCCTAATAAGATACCTGTTGAATGACAAAGAGATGATGGTAACTTTAAAAATGTAAATGGTAAAGTGTGAATGCAGGATTCACATATTCTAGAGTCTTTTGTGGCTAGGCAGGTGATATGACTGACAAAACCTGGGTGGAGGGCTGAGGTCCCTCTAGGGGCAAAGGAAATACTACATATGTCAGAGAGAGGAGTGTCCCTGGCAGAAAGATGAGGGCCAAATGCTCTGAGAGAGGGATTTTGCTGGGAAATGGAAGAATGCCCTCTTTGAGGCAGCAGTGGAGGAGAAAGCTGGTAAAATTGAAAAGAGGTTTGGAGGTAGGTAGGGTTCGGGGAGTAACCGAGTAAAGGGGAGGGAGACACTCTGTGGTGGTCCTGGAGTGACACCCAACTTGCTTGGAGGAAAGGAGGGGTGGGCAGGTCCTCAGGACCAAGAAACATTCCCAGTGCTGCCACTGTCTCTTCTGTCTTTCAGGGGTTGAAACAGGAAAGAGTATTTTTGAAACCGTGTTTTGTTGAAATTCCCAAAGGCCAATTCTTGCATTCCTGTTTTCCACAGTTACCAACAACAACAACAAGTTTACAAATTTAGAATCTTTCCAAGTGACCATTACAATGTGTTTATTATGGTATTGGGGGGAATAAATCTGCCAAAGGAGGGATTGTATTTTCTTATCTTTCGATGAAATTGGTGAAAATGTGTGGGCAGTCTTCTGTGAATTCATGTATTGCTGATATTCAGTCTATGACTTTTATAAACAAATGAGCAGTTGCTGCAAAATCCAGCAGGTATTTCCTTTAAAACCACTGCTGCCAGGACAGAGAAGGATGCTACAATGACAGTAAACTTGTAAATCAATAAATGTTGGTGGTAAAGTTATTCTGAGTTGGTGAGCAGCTTATTATTCAGAGTAGTAAGAGGCCCAATACTTTTTTGTTAGCCAGGCTGCCTTTTGGGAAGTTAACGATTAACCAGGATTTTCATTTGAGCAATGATGGTGAGTGATTGTAGTGTCATTTTGGCATTTCCAGGTTTTCAGTCTGATTGCTTTCATAGTATAGTTTGCTTTCTTGAACACTACATAGTAATGGCACACTTTCTTGATGTTGTTTTAATGTTTTGAAATATTCCAGCCTGCCACATGTTTCTCTTCAGTTATTCAGTATTTTTAAAAAGTAAGATGTTTCTTACTGAAAATTTCAGGCTTACAAATACAATTCGAATCAGTGAATCCCAAACCCGCTGTGCATCTAAATGAAAAAGGAACTTTATAAGTGGGCAGCTTCCCAAGGCCCACTCCAGACCTGCTGAATGAGAAACTCCAGGGATAGGACCCTGGAATCTGCATTTTAAACAGCTTCCAGGCTGCTTCTGACAGGCTAGCTAGCTGGGATGTGTGCTTTCACTAGCAGACATAGTTCACTCTGGCAGAGCTGCTGCTTTGAGTGCAAGTGGCTGGCATATAGTGACTGACATAGATCAGCGCAGAGAGACTTGTTGAACCTGGAAAGGAGGCCTCTTTTAAAAAAAAAATTGCTGGCCGGGCTTGGTGACTCAGCCTGTAATCCCGCACCTTGGGAGGCCGAGGTGAGTGAATTGCCTGAGCCCGCGGGTTCGAGACCCGCCTGGGCAACTTGGCGA